ATGTTTAGGTGGCTTTCTTTGCAATTCCTTGGGATGATTTCATACCTCGTTTCATACCAACAATGATGAACTAGGTACCTCTCTGGAAGGCTTTGATGCAGTGTTATTTCAAATACAAAAATTTTATGTTTTTTCCTGTGATCGTTTGAGCTTTGTTTGTGCACTTTTTTTGTGTTAAAACAAATCACATCGTCAATTTTCAAAATTTCAATCAAAGGTAACTTGATTTTTTTAAAGGGAACTACAAAGTTTATCCTCTAACGATATAAGCGTGTCGGGATTTATTTTTTACATACCTATTATTGTAATTCAATAATTAATTTTAATAAATCATAGGGTTTTTCGATTTTCAAATTCTCCTCAAATCCTCTGTACGGCCTTTTAAATTTTATGATTTCAATTTCAATTTTGACTGGACATCTACTTTTTGGAAAAATGACGAATTTCAGCTGAACGACTCATTTTAGATATCATGTTTATACATAATCACACTAAAATTTACCACGGAATCGGAAATGCAATACTATACAGGGGATGGTAGTTAAAAAAATACAACTTTGATATCAATCACCCTGTCGTGCAATTGCACTTTTGCTGAACATATTTTTAGGTTGTCGCCCTGAGTCCTTCAATATGCCTCGACAGTGAATTTTAAATATGTGCGTTAATAAACCCATAATATTCCACCCCTGTACTAATGGTCTACCCTATATGAAAACCATTAAAATTTAGATTATTCTACTGAAAATGTATGGCCGTTCAAAGTTGGCGTTTGCATTAAGCTCTTTCAAAACGAACCTTTTTAAAACCAAGAGCTTTACGGAAATTTAATTCATTTGTAGTTCTTGCAATTCCCTACAAGACGGCTTTTCTATGGGCCTGCGGCTGCTATCGAAAAAGAAAGGGAGTTGCAGATGAAAAACCGATCAAATTTTCTTTCAAATTTTAAGGATTTATGTTTAAAACCATTTTCCAATGATCGAAAACGTAATGACCGACCACAAGCTCAAAAATATTGAACGGCATAATCGGCAAGATGCTCGTCGTTTTAAAGGTTTTCCGCCCCTGGGGTGCAATTTTATTTTTAGTTTCTAAAATATTCAATTTTGAGTTCGCACTTTGTCTATGCCACTAACAGCATTTTCGAACGTCAATCGAACGTAGACAAATTTGAAGATATAAGACATGAAAAGATGTATGACCGCATTAGATGCTGTTGATACCTATAGTAGATCCATCACCAACGTGAGATAACTTATGGACATTAATTTTCCCTTGTCTTTATCTGCCTTCAGGGTAGACAAATTTTATAAATGTGCTTTTTTGTATCCTCCTATATTAAATTTAAGGCCTTTTAAAATGTAGAATCTCGCCCCTCAAAGTTTGGAATTTGTGCAACAATGTTAATCTTAATCAAGTTATGCATACTAGAAGAAAAGGACTTACTTTCTGAAACGAGTTGCAAGATCTGAGTTTATGAGCTTTAAAGGACGTAAGGCTAATTTAAAATCATTTCTCCTTCATAGAACTACAATGTGAATGTGAATTAATTTGATCCGACGGCTACAATAATGCAAGACACCTCGTTAATTTAGTGGAATAATTTCATCGCCATTTGCAAGTATTATAGTGTAGTTCTAATATTTTCACTATGGAAGTATTTGAAAATTTGTGGTTGCACTGAAAGCTGGAGCAATGAAAACTATTTTTAAACTTGCGGCGCTACCCAAGGAATGTGGAAAGTAGCTAGCAACTTTGTTATTTTAAATAGCAACCCCTATTTTTTATTGCATTTTTGGTTTCTACATGGAATATTCGTTCTTTTAATCTACCAATTTCTACTAACTTGTTTTCACTAAAAAATTCGCAATATTTAAATAATGGAGAATTTTATAGGAAGCCACTGCATTATGATCTCACGATATCTTTTGGTAAATGTCAGACAAAAATGAAAAGAAATACTTATGGATGGAAGGAAAAAGGTAAATTGAGGATGAGAACTTGGAACGTCAAAAATCTACTAAAGAAGGAAAAGATTGACAATCTACGGCGAGAGATGATTAAAAACTGGACTGAATTTGATGTGAGTAAGTGAAACGAGATGGGATAGACAAGGGAGAGGAAAATTGTGATGATGCAAAGTTCTTTGACAGTGGCAAAGAAGGAGGGAAAACGGGATGGGATTTCTTGTCAGCGTGGAACTTTCCAGGTACTGATTTATGACTGTGATAGAGTGATAGGTCTAAAGTCTAGTGATTCAATTGTAGGTACATGCCAACCACTGATCATCAGAAGAACACGCAAGGATAGAAAATATAATTCGAGGAAGAAGGAAGTGGTTGTTGTAAAATCGTAATGGGCGACTGGAATGAGTGGCGGGAAATGGGAATGCGGTTTGCATGTATGGACTTGGAAAGAGAAATGCAGGAAACGATAGACTTGTAGATTTCTGCAAAGAAACAAAAATGATAGTTACCAGCACATGGTTCAGTAACCACAAAAGAAGACTGTACACCTAAAAATCCCCTGGAGACTGAAAGCAAATAGATTTTGCACCTGTAGAAGAAAGATACCAGACACCGATATTTATAGTGACCATGTTCCGCTTATGGCAGACATCACAATGAGGCTTAAAATCAAGAAAAGAGTACGGAAAGGAAGAAAAGAGCAAGTTTATGGATAAGGATGAAGTAAGGAAATTGATAGCTGAACATAAAGTCCCGTCTAAAGTTAAGGAACATGTAACTGAAATCGAATCATCGAGAATAATGAAAGCAGCTGAAGAGAAATTGGATGTAAGAAAAGAAGCCTTGAATAAAGCACAAAATGATAGTAAAGATGGAAGAGAGAAGAAGGTACAAAAACATCGATACCGAACGAGGAGGAAGATAATTTTTTAGGCTAAACACGGAGTTGAGAAAAGAAACTGATGAAGATAGAGAGCTGGTTGTAGTAATGAGGTGGAAGATAGGAATGGAAAAGTACTGAAAGAAGATGGTAGATGTCTATAAAACGCATGAAAAACCAAGGTAACTGGAACTGGAAACAGAAGAATCAGTCTGTTGCGATAATATAGAGCCAGTAGTATGCTTACCGCAGTGGAAAGAGCAATGAAAAGTATGAAATCGGATGGGGATGGGGCTACATGGAATTCCAATATATTAAGATATCTTCAGGAAGAAGGAATGAAAAGGAGTGAACGAATTAAATATCTCTATGTTATTTTATTTATATGAATCGGGGGAATCCTGAAGATTCTGATGATACCTCTGGCTGAAAAGAAGGGAACAAGGAAGTGCATAGAACAATCAGCCTTGTAAAACATGCAACGCAAATATTGTTGAGTGTGTTAAATAGAACTAATAGAAGGTTCGAAACGATAATGGAATTCAGAATAATGCACAAGAAGAGCAATTCGGATCTACAAGATGACTGGGAACAAGATGCGATTGGATGTGTAAGAACAATAGGTGAAATATATATGGAAAAAGGAAGGAATCTAGGTTTCTGTTTTGTTGAGCTGGTAAAGGCATTTGATTGTGTTTTATGGGAAGAATTGATGGGCATAAGAAAAAAGGGGATGTGGATGTGGAGAAGAGTTCTTGGAATAAAGTGGTCTGACAGGATTAAGAAAGAACATCAGGTACTAGAAACAATAGGAGAAGGAAGATCTTTGTATAAAGGGAAGGACGTGATCGAAAGAGTCGTGGAGGGTACAAGGAGATAAAGAGGAAGAAAGGCTATGGATAGAGAGGAGTGGAGGCGGTAAAATAGAATCTGCGTATAGCAGACAACGTTAAGATAGAATTTGACCGTTTCCATTCCATTTACTTCAGAGAGTCTAATAAATTTGGACATTGTATCCAAAAAATGAAGCACAATGTACAGTTTTGGTATTGTTTAGGAGTCGATAAGTGAAATCTCAACGTGAATCACAATATTTGAAATAGGTAATTAGTATCCAAAACTCTAAATGGAATTATACCATTCCCTATATAACTTAACCTAATAAAATAAGTTTAAACATTACCTCTACAATATTGAGAAGTGTGTATAAATTTTATTGTCGCTACTTCCCAACAGTTTTAAAGGACAATTGAAAAACTATATCTTTAAAAATTACTTCCAAAATGACAATATACATACGCGTATTTAAGAGATTTTATAGACAAAATCAGTCACCCATTCTTAATTTTTAAATAGGACCTGCCTGTTCTCTTTACTTTTACCTTAGAAAAACGGTTAAAAGTTTAAAAATTATTTCCAAAACAGTAAAGTGCACGTATGCAAATTTTTTTGTTATTATCTAGGGTTGGTAAGCGTGATAACAATAAATTATTAGTGGCCAGGTTGGCAAATTAGTTGCTTGCGTAATGTGTGCAAATAATTTGCGATATAGTTAAAGGTTGATATCCGGTATTTCAAATAATATCCCATTGATTAGTTGAAAGCTATTTCAGAAGTACTGAAGCAGATATGAAATGAATATGATTGGTATAATGTGCGAGAAACTAGGAAGAGTGTTTTTACTACTAAACCTCAATTAAACATGAATCGTAAAGTGGAAAATAATAAGGGCATATCAAGAGGTGTTCAAATATTATCGTGTCAACAATGCTATATATCCCCTAAGCAACTTTCAATGAAAAAGGCTTTCGTTTAGATCGATGGAACGATATTTATTATAATGTGGTATCTTCAACCTTGATGGCTTTGTTTCTACTTTAATTAGGAATACAATTATAAGGTGTACTGAAAATTCCAAAAAGTGGTCTTGTTCATGACTCACGGTTATGATAAGTACGATTTGAAACGTGAAACAAATGGAAGAGATCACGTTTTCCGAAATTTTGCCTATGGTGGTAACAATCAAGAAGCGATCATGTAACTACTTCACTTAGTTTAAAACCGCTAGCGTATGTTTTATTTAAGACTTTTGATCTACCCAAAACCGGGGAATGGAGACGCAATAAAGTGTTCAAACAGTAAACATTCCATACCTTTTTAATCGGCTATAAAAATTCTTTTTCACTGTTTCCAAAATCAGTTCAGTCACAAAGTACTGCCAGAATAATTGATTGAAAACGGTATACGATACGGGCACTACACGAACACGGTCACGAATTTATTAACAAACACAAATTGAATTAAAACCTTCGGACGTTATTACCTTCCCCTCCTTTACATGTCTATAGGCAGATATACAAATTTCAGCGTGTTCACGAATTTTGTATCGAAATGAATAGCATGCGTTACCATATGCTTTAAAATATTGGAACACGTTTAATGCGTATAAAACAAATTCAATATCGAACTGTGATTTTGGCTATTTGAGTCACGGTGTATTTTTTTCTGTGTGATGGTTTCGTGCTTTTCAATCACAGATCAAAATATCGCAAAACTGCATGAATACTGGTGCTTTATTCAACATCATTACAACGAATGAAATTTCCCATACATAGAATAAACAAAAATGCGATTGCGCATAAACATAAACTCAACTATCCGTAACTTCTATAATTTTTTATTCCATAGTTACACTTAGTTGTTTGAATAACGACAACACAACTAAATGTAGTACATTATTCCATTATTTGAGTCCCGACTACCTTACGTTACGGTTACCAATTGTTAGATTTCGAATTTGAATTGAAAATTTAGATAACCGAGACACTGGAAAAGACCAAGTTTTCCTATATGAATAACAAAAACATACTTTAGGCATTGGAATAACAAAAAAATTAAAAGATGTTCACTCATAATGTCAATTTTTGTTTCATTTTGCCCCTCGTGCGGGACAGAATGAGAAGTGCTTTGGGGCAAAACAAAAAACTAATTTCATTTTTCCGTTGCGCAACTTTACTTTATAATTCGTCAATTTTCAAAGAATTTCCTTCTGGTACATTACTTTCATTGGGAATGCAACTGTTAGATCACACAACTATCTTGGTTTAATATTTTTCTATGGGGTACAATGGAAAATATGTCATTTTTGTGTTATTGCAGAGGGCTTGATAGCCGTTTTGCTGTACAGGGTGGTTCGAATTCGTGGCTCACCAAAATAATGACGTGTCACACTGTATACTTTTATATTAGTGTACAAGACAAATTTCAAAAACAAATGTTTACATTCATCCATTGGATTAGATTTTGAAATTTTTCTTTTACACTAATGTAAAAGTATACAATGTGGCACGTAATTATGTTTCTTTTTTGTCCTCTATCTCATTCCGCAAAATTAAAAACCCAATACGGAGTCCGTAAGAAGTAAGAAAGTGGTCGCCTGTAGCTTTTACATCTAGCGTGTTATGGAAATGTGATAATAACAGAGTCAGAGTGGAAAATTTGACATTTTCATTTTTTCTCAGTTATTTTAGATTTCTCAAAAATTACAAATGAGTAGTTTTAGTCACAAAAAAGGTCAACTCCATTTAACCTACGCCGTATCTCTCACCGTTACGGAGATTCCAATGGTGAGTCACGAATTTGAACCACCCTATACATCGCATTAATTACTTGCGCGTATCAAAAATGGAGATGAATATTATGAACAATAAACAGAGAGCTTAAATTCATACCTCTTCAAATTCCAACGTCACTACGCAAACTCAGATTAGTGATCAGCAGCTATTTTAAAAGCCAAGCAAACACACCCCTTACAATTACCACAGAAATATGCGAGTCGTTTTTCATTTTGCCCAACGTTCCATTTCTCCCGACGTTCCCCTATTAAATACGTGAGTCTTTTTAATGACGCACGACTTTTTCACTTGAAATGCAATGGTATAACCGAGAACGCTGAGATTGCTCAACTCAAACTAAACTGAAAATTGAACTTTTTCGTACTGCCACAGTTTCATAATATTAATAATGAACTACATCTCAGCTTTAGAGGGTTACAAAAACAACAAAAATTAATTATTTAATCAATTAATTACGCGTCCTTAATTGACCCATCCGGAAAAACAAAGCCAACCCTGTTGTTGATTAATTACTATTACGCATTTTTCCTTGCCCTACGAACGAATTATTCACCTTTTTCTCTATGGCTTACGAACAATTAGATCACGACCGTATACTCGTATACAGTGCGTTAGAGACAGCTGTTTTATTTGGTGAGATACAAACAATTTATCAAATATAATTTTATATGTGATCTATCAGATCGCTTCCGTTTAAGCGGAGATCGATGCAACTCTTGTTTTTGAAATGCAATGCCCATGTTTTTTAAGATATTTGGAAAGAGCAATCAATTTGCTGTACGACATCATAAAATATGCATGTGATTGAGAAATTCGTTATTCAATATTTAGCAAGTTTAAGAAATCTAGCATGCCGTGTGCAATATCACATAGAAAAGACCTACATCAACTTGATCAACGTTTCGTTTTGAAGATTTACTTTTGTGCGACACGATCTCCTCGTGTGATACAATAGACACCGCGCATCCTGACAGCACACGGCATGCTAGATTTCATTAGTTTTCTTGAATATATTGAATCCCGAATTTCTCCATTTTTTTGTATATCAACCTTACGCATATATTATGCTGTCGTACACCAAATGAATTGCTTTATTCAAATATCTCAAAAAACGAAAGCTGTACCATGTTTCGGTTAAACCGGAAGTGACATCGGAATTCAATATGCGATCGGATATAAAATTATAACTGACACATTTTTCGCATCTCGCCAAATAAAACAGATATTGAAGTGACACCCTTGTCTCGAACGCGCTGAGTATCAGAGTATCAAACAAACTTTATTTAATTTATTTAAACTTTGGATCTGTTATTAGTGTTATTAGTTTTCAAAAATAAGGGGTGGTAATGACTCAAAAAAATAATAAGCGCCTATCGTTAGTGAGTATATTTTGAAGGATAGGAGCTTCACTCAAGCAAATAAATCGACGAACATTCAAAAAATTCGAAGGTTTCTTACTGGTTTTTACTGCCATATCGTGTACTAAATCGTGTTTCTTATCATGGTAATGTAGCGAAATCGAAAACCGATTCAGTCGAACAATTGCTGATCCAATCTTCCATTTAGTTGATTAACACGGCTAAACGAACAGCTTAACTACATATACAAGTGTTTCCCACAACATTTTTTTTAATGTTTTATTGTTACATACCGATAGCGCTTAAGACGGAAATGGAAAAACATAAATTGATTCCCACTGAAACATGATGAAAATACTATTTGCGATTGTCAACAGGCACCCCTTACCGACTGATGATAATGATGGTGTTTGCACCCCTTGTTTGTAATGTTAACGCTTATTACATTCCGTCTCAGTTTGTAGAAACGCGTTGGGTTTTGATTAGGCATAGAATATCCTTTTTAGGAAAAGATCTCCCACTCAGCACCCATTAACGTTTCTAAAACATTAACTTTCTACATAGATAACGCCTACATCAAGCTATCAGTCAACCCCTAACCGTTTTCAAAGATTGTAAATCAATATTATTACATTAAGTTCATGAAAGTGTTTATAAACTAGGCATTAGGTTCTGATTGTGTTTCTTGTTCAAATTAAATAAAGGAAACGTAAAGATCATTTTACAAAGGTCTATTATCATAAAGCTTTGAAACACCATGTCGTCATTGTTTGATTCACAAGGTGTAAATGTAAAACGTTTCCCTCCATCGTTATAGAGAATTCTTTAGCGCGAACAGATTTCAGAAACAAATGATTTTCACTTGAGAGGATTCCATTTTCATTCAACTCTTGCTGAACAAACACAATCGACTATAACGCCGCCGATATAAACATTTGGCAGGTCTTCTCAATTAGGTTGTTAAATGGGATATCTCGATCTTTCTTTTATGTTTTTAACACTTTCGGCGTAGGTACATTACATCTTATTTGGAATCTGTCAACGCGTTGAATTAAATCCGTCAGGAAAAAGAACGATTGAAAGAAATTGATTTAAATCAGATCCTCAACAAAAGCGTGTTGCTCCATTGTATTGAAATCTGCCTTTCAAAAGGTGACAAACTTAAAATTTAAATATGGAAATTTCAACAATTTATTACCTGATTTCGTAAGTTTCAATGTAATAAAGTCAAACGATTCTGGAAAATGCAACCAATTGTATTAGCGCTCATTCACGCTGCCACTTATGTATAAACATGCATTTATATTTATAAAATATTAAAGCTGAGAAAATTTGATTAAAAACGAAAAATAAAGGATTTGCGATGTCAATTTAACTTTTTTTGTGGTTTGTGAACCCCAAATATTTCCAAGATCGCATGAACTCGTCTAAAAAATATTTGAGATAATCTGTAGGATTATTTAATATCAATTTCCTTAAGAAAACTTCAAAGCGTATATGCTTCATTGTAAAATATATTCCCAATTTCAGGAAGACGCCCTTTAGATTTATTTATGGCACGAAAAGTCACATTTGCCCTTTATTTTGCATAAAACCCACTTTATCCCTTACTCGCGCGTGATACCGTAACGGCTTTAATGCGTTTACAACCTTTTAAATTCCGTTAATAGATGCGTATTATAGAAATGTTTGCTAAATCTATTTTTACCTTTTCCATTAGCTCCCTTAGAATCGATTTTCTGTCAACCAAGCTTTCTGCAACAAATCAAACTTCATTTTATTTATAACTAAAGCTCGAAGGAAATTACCGTTAGTTTTACCTCCTGCCTCTTACCCAGCACTAAAGTCTCCGATTCTAGTATTAAACATTTCCATTTATCTTTGTTCCCTGTTCCTCGATCTTCCAATTAAATACCTTTAATTGGCACTACTGAAACCTGAGATATATACGCGGTCTATTAACTATTATTGATGCCGGATATTTTATAAAAGGGGGAATGCGAAAAGGGTTTGCGACTTGTAACATCCAAAACGAGAAGTGAAAGGAAGAGTTGGAAAACACATCAAACAAAAGTTAAATTAAAGACAAAGAAAAACGAATAACAAAAAGAAAAACAAAAATTAGAACACAGATGGTTGATAAAGAAGAGAAAAATCTAAGAAACAATTACAACATAATATGGAAAGACACCAACATAAGTTGATTAAACGTGAACTGAACAGGTTAGCGTGCCAGTGCGTAAGAACTGAACAACACTAAAAAATTACTAGCAAGAGAAAATGACAATGCAACTAATAACACAATACAAAAAAGTGGAAGAGATAAAACAGGAACAGAAGTATAAAGGATCGTGGAACTTAAAAAGGATAAACGGGATTCCGTACAAAGCGCCCATATAAAAATAAAAAATAGAAAAGGACTTCGTCCTAACGCGAGTAACTTAAGCGCCTTTTCCATACATTGAT